TACATTATTTTTGAAATTACAATATTTATGCATGTGTAATTTTTGAAATTACAATATTTACAATGTATATATAATATGTAAGCATGAAACTTTATAGCACTAGTTTTAAATACCGATGCACGTCGCGTCTTATAAGATACTGTTTTTATGCAATTGTATGAAACGTGTATGAAGAGCGCGACAGTGTCACGTGACCAGCAGATGTATCAAGTATGACTATGCATTGAACAATGCAAACACGCTATTCGTATAGTTATATATATAATTTTACTTTGCGCTGCCACTTTGAGGATTATTTTCTATTGGACAGGTAAAATAAATTGAATGCAAAATGTCTAAGTGTCGAAAATATCGAAATTTCAATAGAAACGTCCAAATGCCCTTGAAAAATCATTTATTCAACATATTTTCTATGCTTATAAATTTCATATTCAAATTCACATAAAATGCAACGCAAATTTGAAAGATTCAATAAAGAGAAGATTTCAACAAAATATGAATATACTCTGTAAAATGTGCTCGGCTGTGCGTTTAAAAGGCGAAGGGTGTATTATCAAAGCCGAGCTTGATGTATGCAATATGCATCGACTGAGGAACCATGTCTCGTTTCCATGGTGTCGGAAGTGAACGAATTCCGGCCGAGTGTAGTCGCGACAAATACATCGTATGGCACTATGTTTATTTATTTATTTAACTTTAATGCACACAATATAAAATATAGTATAGTACATTTGGCGGACTTAACACCATGCGGCATTTTCTACCAGTCAACCATAGGTGGTGCAGAGAATAATTGTTGGCGGTGCAAAATTATAAACATAAACAAAATGCAACAAAATATAAATATATATACAATATATATATATATATACTTAAGAGATACAATAATATATAACATAAATATATACAAATATGATACCTATATACACAAATACACACATATATATGCAATAAACTTAAATATATACCAAATAGTCTGACAGTCACAGAACTAAAGAGAGTTAAATGGAAAAAAAGTGAATTCAGAGAAGAGAGAAAGTTATAAATTCAAATAATATTCTCGTAGTTTACGTTTAAAAGAAAATTTATTCGTAGCAGTTTTGTATGTTCCTATGTTCCTATGTTTACTATGTTCCTATCGGATGACGTGAAAGAGCTCAGTTATTCCAATATATTTCATTGGGAATAGAAAAAAATATACGCAAAAAGAAGATCGCCAATATACAGTATGGAACAAAGGTTTACCTGGACACGGAGCTCGTGTAATGAATTTAGGTTTTGTTGATTGTTTTGTTACTGAGAATTTTATTAAAGAATATATTCCGCCTACATTGATTGAAGAATTCATTTTTTTTTCTTTTGACAATTCACACAGCGCCATCTAGTCCCAAGTTAAGCTAGCTAAAGTTTGTGTTACGGGTACTAGATAACTGATACATATACATAGATAATTTTTTTTTCGTAAATACATAGAAAACAATCAGACCGACACAAACAATTATACTCATGAATACAAATGTTTGTGCCGTGCGAGGAATCAAACCCGCGACCATCGGACGTAAAGCGGTGTGCTAGACCGCTAGACCACGAGGTCGTCATAAAAGTATGCATGTATTCTAGCTGTATATATATATATATGTTCTAGCATTAATTCTTACATCAATAATCTTTAACTATTGATGTATACATATTTGATCTGTATTAAATAAGTAGGTATTTCAAAAGTCAATCTTATAAAGATTTACCATCAAATGCTTATTTGTCTAGAAATAACTAGCTTATAGATATCATGTTATTCGAGTTTTTATCAAAAGAATGTTGTGAATATAATATTAAATGTTACGGTAATTCGCTAGTAGAAATCGCATTCAAATCTAACTTAAGACCTTTCTGAAATCATGAAAAGAAATGAAGACTATAAAAACAGAGTACAGACAATTTTTTTTTAAAAAAACTTCTTTAAATTTAGTTTATTAGATTAAAAAAAAATCAATTCTATTTATTCTAAATATTATATTTTTAAAGGTAATATGTATAATTCTTTTTCTACGTATTGTGCAGAGCTCTTTTATGATTTTTTAAGCTTCTTTTAACGAAGGATTACTCAGACTGCTTTTGTCGTCTCTACCATCGAGAACCTGTTCCACCAGCTATGGATATATATATATCTTTATTTCGTTGCATACAATACGGTTTATATTTATAATATGATGATTTTATGAGTACTCATGACACATACACGCCTCCCGTGTTAGTACTGTTATTTATTTTATACTAGCTGTTCCCGAGACTTCGTCCGCGTGAAATTTTACTTGATTTTTCTAAAATAAAATTTTTCATGTAATTTACAAATAAGTTAATACTGAAAACATTATTTTTTGTGAGGATTTTTGGGTACAACAGCATTTAAGTTGAATATAATTTTTATTTGATATATGTCTACAAAAGCAATCTGATAGGAATAATAGAAGTAGGAAACAAAAGTCTAAGTTACTCCTTATTACATCAGCTACCTGCCCAAAAAAGTCCCGTCAAAATTTCAGAGATTAACCGGAACAAACAGACCGACAGACAGACAGACAGACAGAAATTATAAAAAATGTTATTTTGGTATATGTACCGAATATACAATTATATGCATGTAGTAAAAAACGGTTATTTCAATATTACAAACAGACACTCCAATTTTATTTATATGTATAGATTACGTTTCTATCCGTGATAACCTGTAAGTGGCCGTTCTGATTTAATTATGTTTATAACTGTCTGTAGATATATAGTCTTGGTTTTCCGAAAAATAAATAAATAATATACCTAGTGATAAATCAAACTAGTTTCGAGGAACACATCACACTGGTCTGCAGGAATGATTATGTATGTCTTTTACGAACTCACGAGTATGATTATTGAAAAGTTACATAATTTATTGTTAAGATTTTTTTTTGTTATAATTTTATTACAGTACTATTGTACATTGTCATAGCTATAGCATTATGAACTATAGCTAGTCTGTGCCCGGATATAGTTATTACCCTGTGCCCAACACGCGTCACTGCCCACTCATATATACTAATATTTAAATTGTAATATTATATTTTAAGTGTAAACTACTATTTAATAAATGAATGTAGAATTAGTGGTTGTTATTCACAAATGACAATACATACATCAAAGAAGTTTAATTGTAATATTATTGCTAAATACGATATTACACACATTTGTTTATTGTGATGAGAAAATAAGATCTATGACGAGCTAATTTCGTTTAAGTTACATTATTATCTTTTTGTAATTTTTTTTATTGTATATAGCCTTCATGAAGATATAGGCTATCCAACACTAAATGAATATTAATTGTCGGATAGCCTATTTGATGTAGGCCACCCGATCTAAATCCGATCAGTGATACCGGAGGACTCCACACATACAAACTCACAAATTTTACCTCATTATAATATTACTGTAGCTTTTTGAACGTAATTTCGGTTGAGGTATGGTAGATACATTGTCACGTGTATATATGTATGTATGACGACCTCGGTGGTCCAGCGGTCTAGTACACCGCTTTACGACCGATGGTCGCGGGTTCGATTCCTCGCACGGCACAAACATTTGTATTCATGAGTATGATTGTTTGTATCGGTCTGGGTATTTTCTATATATAATATGTATGTATTTACAAAAAAAAAATATCTATGTATTTGTATCAGTTATCTAGTACCCATAACACAAGCTTTAGCTAGCTTAACTTGGGTCTAGATGGCGCTGTGTGAATTGTCCTAAGATTATTATTATATAAACATCACTGCACATCTCCACATTTCATTGGCCGTGCACATATTAATGTAATTTGTCACGCAACCCCTGTCTCTTGGATGATAAACCAAATCGATAGGTAATCCAATATTCAATAATCTGAGATTCAATAAATGTCCATAAAATATATCTATATATAAATATCTATATATATACATATAAAAAAATTGGAGTGCCTGTTTGTAATATTGTAATAACCTTTTTTACTATATGCATATGAATATAGATACAGTATATTCATATACCAAAGAATAGTTTTTTACAATTTTTGCCTGTCTATTCCGACTAATCTCTGAAATGGCTGGACTGATTTTGACGGGACTTTTATGGGCAGGTAGCTGATGTGCTAAGGAGTAACTTAGGCTACTTTTATGTTAGAAAAATAATGTTAAATTCCACGCAGACTAAGTTGCGGGAAATACTAGTGCCAAAAAATATTATGAATTGTAAACACGTATTTTGTTTGTTGTCGCTGTGATTTCAATTCCCAACCTTTACCACTAGTCATATTCAATATTTGCCAAAGTAATAAAAATGCATACGTTCAAATTATTTCTTAAATGGAATTCTAAATCGCAAAGTGAAAATGTTTTCCATTTCAGCAAATGTATTGCAATTTTGTTACCTTAAGTAGTTCCTTTGACAGTACGTGTACGGACGATTTCATATTACCATACATGGAGAATGGTCGCCGACGTGCAACGTTCTTTTATTTCCACGCTTATTATTTCCAATTAACTAAACGGCCACTTGTAAACTGTCTCGTCTAATTTACAAGGAGGCACCCGTTAAGGAACCGTAAAATTGGCAGCATAATTCAGTTAGCCACATGGTTAATCGAGTTAATTACATTTGCAGGTACAACCGTAAAATTACAGTCTAGTTTACGTTCTTACAGATTAGTTTCATAAATATATCGTCATGAGAGATATGTACACGCGTGGGCAGGCAATTAAAAAAAACAAAACAATATTACCTATATAGTTTTTAGTCTGTTTAATACTTTACAAATTAATTGGTAACGATACCGACATCTTGGCGACGCGTATGTAACGACCTTCGCTTAAACTTGAAAGACACCTACATGCTGTTATGTCCTTGTTATATTATTGATGGATCTGTTAGATGTACTGGACTATTATTTACCTCCTTGTCACCTATTTATATCTACTGTGTAATTGTAGGACACGTCGATAATCGTGGTGTCGGTGCGCGCGCGCATGCCGCTTATGAGTCATCGCTGAGCCTTCTGCGCATAACCGACCGAACAGAGCAGTCGCGTCGCGGCATACTTACAGACTATACATGTCACATGATTCGCGCTTACGCACTCTACGTCGATCGAGCTTAGTCGTTTCAGTTACAAATCGTGAATTAAACTTAACGCAAATCGGAGTGACCATTTTCCGGGATGACTGCGGTCAAGAAGGCGCTAGCCATGCGCCAGCTGGATTCCATGTTCGGCAGCATGACGCTGCAGGGCGAGGGTCGGCACTCGCCGCTCGTCAGTTCGGTCATCGAGCACGACCCCCACTGTGACGTGCACGGTCGCTGCAGCACGCCCTATCGATCCTCGATTTACCTTCACAGCAGAGAATCCACCCCCGGCTATTATGGAGACTCCGTGTCACCGACGAGCGGGCTTATAATCAGGTTCGTAAATATTTTTCAGAAGAAATTCCGTTGTTACTATTTCGTGTTATTAATGAGGAATGTAATGGCACAGGCGTCGAGATTCCCTCGGGATGTCGGGCTCGCCGGTCAGAGAGCTCGAGCACCCGTCGTCGTTCCCGAGTCTGCTTCGTCGCGACCGGCACAGCCCGTCGCAGACGCCGCCGCGCAGAGAGACTCCCAGTCCTACATACAGATCTTATACCAAGAGACATTCCATGGGCTCGTTTCCGAATTTGAGCAAAAGCAATATCATTAATTACAACAGAAGAGACTCTTCCTCCGGTAATGGGGTGAGAGAGATGAAGAGAGATTACGTCGGTTCGACAAATTCTCTGTCCAGGAAAAGTTCTATTGACACAAAGAAGTCCTCGACTGACTCATTGGACATGTGGCATACTTGGGACTCGGACAGACGCGACTCGGTGTCCTCACTCGTTCATGACGACATCATCACGAATGGATACAATAAGGTAATTATTTGCAACAGTAAGCGCCTGTTTCAGGCCTGCACAAATACGATCGGACGTTTAAATAGGTGACCTTTGACTAAAAGGCAAATAATTACTTCATAGTTAGTACATTTCGTATTTGACAAACGTGATGCGATGCTCGTGTTTTTGCAAGACGAATGGATGATGTCATAATGTGTGATTGATTATTCTACATTGAGGTGTTAACCGCTTATTAAGAAAGATCCATCATAGTCTAATATTTGTTTTACAAGGAGAAAACTAATTTTAATCGTTAGTAAATTACAAAGGGATCAACACAAGAATAAACCTAATCAATTACGTACGTAGTTGTTTGGATTTAGCCTGCTATAATATATTATGTAAAGTAACAGTAAGTTTTGATCTCCTTATTTTTTGAACTTGATAATTATGTATGTTATACACTATTTATTTACATCATCATCTGCTTCTTCCTTATCCCATTTATTTGTGGTAATATGTTTTTCGCGTAATATGTTTTTCGCTTCCATTCATCCCTGTTCGCAGTCATCGCGTTATTTACTTCCTTTCTTACCATATAATCTTTCACACAGTCCATCCATCTCTTTTTCGGCCTTCCTCTGCCTTTATAACCATCCACATTCATTTGTAACATCTTTCTTAAAATATTATCCTCGTTCCTACGCATTACATGTCCATGCCCATTACACTATTTATGTACACTACTTTAAAATTCTATTACTACGTCATATCACTGCTTGTAAGGCATATTGTGCAACTTTAAATTTTAAAACGTCAATATTCTGAAGGGTCTTTACTCCTTTTCGCAACGTTTTATTTATTTTGCTCCACCTGTGTACGTTGCTAGTCTTGAAAATTTGCAATATATTTTCAATTACCCGGCTGTCGTCGAATTGAGATGGCGTTTCAAGTTCACTGAGATGCAAGGTTACGGTACCTTCGAGCAGATCGAGCATAAACGTAGCTATGAAAACTCTGGAATATCTCTTATGTGTATTTTATATCTTGGTACCTTCTTATATCCTTACGCCTTATTAATATTATAAATGCGAAAGTCACTCTGTCTGTCTGTTTGACTCGCTTTCACGCCAAAACCACTAAACCGATTTAAACACATACATACAAATATTTTAGATCGGTTTAGTGGTATAATACATATTATACATATAAACATTCCTCTTGAATAGCTCTATATATTGCCGTAAATTGCAATAAAAACCTTTGCGTACATCATGGGATGTTTTTACACACTCATAAGACCTCTCTTATTCCATAAGGTATTGGTAATATATATATATATATATATATATATGCTGGTATAAAAAAACAAAATTATTTTTATTATATAAAGAACGTAATGAGTGAAAATGTCTAATCGTATATCAAACTAATAAGTATAATAATACGTCATTTCGTATAAAAACATGTATTTATATTGTAAGAATATGATTTCTGAGAAATGTTTTCGTATCTGCTGTTCCTGCTACTTCGTCCGCGTGGAATTTAACTTTATTTTTATAAAATAAACGTAAAAAAAGGAGTTACTTAGTCTGAGTTACTCCTTGTTACATAAGCTACCTGTCAGAAAAAGTCCCGTCAACATCGGTCCCGCCATTTCAGAGATTAGCCGGAACAAACAAACAGATAAAAATTGCAAACAATGATATTTTGATGTATGTACCGTATTTATAATCATATACATGTAGTAAAAAACTGTTATTTGAATGTTACAAGCAGACACTCATATTTTATTTATATGTATATATTAGTGATTTATATAACTTTATTAGAACTTATGTATCTGTAAAATGAGCAAGGTGGACCGACGATCTGGTCATGATCGCTGGAAGGCATTGGATGCGAGCAGCGCAGGACCGATCGTCGTGGAGATCTTTGGGGGAGGCCTATGTCCAGCAGTGGACGTCTTCCGGGCTGCGATGATGATGATGATGATGATGATGATTAAAATGAGAATCGTAAGTAAATATAATACGATCACAATGATCACGCTTCGCTTATGTATTATTTGTTCCGAACTCGTATTGGATAACATTGGGTAACAAAAAGCGGCCGGCGAAAGCTTACATGTATAGCGTTGATAGGAAATCATGCGTTAACTATTACTGATTACGGTCTATTTTTGTGTTAACGATTAATACAGTGTAAACCATTTGTTTGCAATTAAGCGCTGAGCTACGTTTATTTATTAATGTAAACTACGTTATATTAATTTGTACATTTCATTTTTATATACGAGTATCATATCCAGGTATGTGCTTGTTGTTAGTTTGTATTCACTCATATTGAACTTAAAAATGTAAAGGTACAACTAAATTGTTTTAAAGAAAGAAAGAAAAATCATTGACAGCCGTTATTATTATTTCATTGAATTAGTGCTAATCGGTGGTTTGTATTCACACACTTAAACTTAAATTGTAAGTAAGAATAAATTATTTAAAAGAGCAACACACAAGTTTCTTGCTTGTTCTTCTTGTGATGAGACAGCATTCCGAATGAACGGTAGATTAAAAAAAAATGTTATGACTATTCAAAAGTGCTTCAATGTAAGTTTATTTGAATAAATGATTTTCTATTCTATTCTATTCTATTCTATTCTATTCTATTAACATACATAGTACGGCTGGCAACGGCAGTGAAGTAGGATAAAATAAATAAAATAACTTACCAAACTTAAATGATGTATTTAGTGGTAGAATACATATATGACAAAATGTAGCTAAACAATAAAATTAAAAATAGAAATATCTATAAAAAGAGGTCTGTCGCCAACAATACATATATAATATATACGTACATATGTCACGACCTAGGTGGTCTAGCGGTCTTGCACGCCGCTTTACGTCCGATGGTCGCGGCTTCGATTCCCCGCACGGCACAAACATTTGTATTCATGAGTATGATTGTTTGTATCGATCTGGGTGTTTTCTATGTATTGACGAAAAAAAAATTACCTATGTATTTGTATCAGTTATCTAGTACCTGTAACACAAGCTTTGAAGTTTAACTTGGGACTAGATGGCGCTGTGTGAATTGTCCTGAGATTATTATTATATGTCATACAATTACAAAAAAAGGAGCAACACGCAAGATTCTTGCTCAATCGGAAATCTGACTGAATGGTAGATTAAAAGAAGTAAGTGATGACTATTCAAAAGTGGTTCAATGTAACTTTATTTGAATAAACGATTTTCTGTTCTATTCTATTCTAGGAAAATAAAATTTAAGCACTGAACTCACCGATCATTGAATAAATATTTACGTTATTTGATCTTAATATTTCGTTACTTTAATTTTCGATATTATTTACGAGGTAATTCTTAATTTGTACTCAACATAGTCTAATTATCAAGAGTCTATCTAATAAAATTTATTTCTTATAACATTAATATTTTAATTATGTACATGTCGATAATTGGTTGTTAATTATTGTATTAATTAGTAACGGAATCTGGGACTTCGTACCCGTTACGGTTTTTTATGTAATTAAATAAATAAATATGCCTGAACAATTAACACGCCATCTATTTGTACTGGAGAACTGATTTATATACTTATTGTTAGATCTTATTATTTATTTATAAATACATAGAACACACCCGGACCGATACATACAATGAAAATGAATACAAAAGTTTACACCGTGTGAGGAATCGAACCCGCGACCATCGGAAGAAAGGCGGCGTGCTAAATGGCTACATCATCGACGCTATTCAATAAACCCTCAAAAGTTACTACCGTTAATTAATTCGTTAATAAAAGAATATATGGCACCTACAAAGGTTAACGCGTTGATGGTGATGAAAGGTAAACCTGATGATAAGTTATGTAAATGATAAACCGATTTTAATCGAACTAAGACAATTTTAAGTGAACATTTGAATGAATTTATTAGAATTATTTAGTGAAATTGCACCCAAATCTATTAAACAGAAACAAATAAATATAGTAACGATCATTGTACTGAGCTGTCAAGCTTAATAAACTCGCTCAATAATAGTATTTTTATATATATTTAAATATAGACAGACATACAAATGTAAGCAACAGTTGACGAGTTACGAGAGATGTTTAGTGAAAATTGTGACTTATGAAAAAAAAATGTCAACATAGTCTATACTATGTATACATGTTTATATAATTATGTATATGCCTTGCCCAAGAAGATATAAATTATTAACACTACGGTGTCGACTATACGTGATTTTCTTAATATACAAAAAGTACTAGGCGACATCAAGGACGGACTTATACCAAGACCTCGCCGGAAATCGATATGTCGAACATATCCAGGCGGAAGTAAGGTGTATTTACTTGTCTTCAAAGACAACATGACAAGTGGTGCTACTGGGTTGACATAAATTGTATAGAAAATAATATATATGTTAAGTATATAGGGCAATTGATGATGCAGTTACCCATTAGTAACTAAAGAGTTACTTTAAGGGAAAGATAATTCGATAGTTACTATCTGAGGCAGTCTTGTAGAAAATTGAATAGATATCTGGGTACAACTTACTTAATCGTTATATTTGCATACTAGCTGTTTCCGTGACTTCGTCCGCGTGGAATTGAACTTCATTTTTCTAAAATAAAAGTAGCCTAAGTTACTGCTTATTACATCAGCTACCTGCCAAAACTGTTCCGTCAAAATCGGTCCAGCCATTTCAGACAATAGCCGGAAGAAACACCGATAGACATACAAATAAAAATAATAAAAAATGTTATTTTGGTATATGTACCGAATATATATTCATATGCATGTAATTAAAAACGGTTATTTCAATATTACAAACAGACACTCCAATTTTATTTATATGTATAGATGTATAGATAATAATATAGTAAAATTGTACCGTTGGAAATTCTGTTTCTTTCTCTGTTTGTCAATACTAGTCAATCCTAGACCTATGGACATATCACAATTAGACAATTTAGACAGCGCCATCTAGTCTCACTTTAAGCAGAGTTTGTGTTGTGGGTACTAGACAACTGATATAAAAACTTAGACATTTTTTTTGTATACATACATAATATACATAGAAAAC